GAACTTCTCGGCGATGGAATAATCAGCCAAAGCAGAATAAAGCACGAAATTTGCTTCTACGGTCGCCCTTTTCACCAACAGGAGCTCCTATAGATTATCATGTCAATCGCCCTTTAAAAATCGGTTAACGAGCACAACTTTGGACGAAGTGGATGGCTTGATGACCAACATCAAGGCGTGATCGCCTTCAAGAATCAAAACTTCTTCGCTTGTAGAATCCAACCGTCTAGCAAATGGGAAGCAGTGCATGAAGTAGACGGTGAGTATGTCCCGGAGCAATTATTTGAACATGTCTTTGCTAGATACTTCTCCCGTTTCTCCAAATAAAATTTGCTGAAAAAAATCCGCCATAATTATGCATCAACCTAAGATATATACTGAGCCTCAAAAGCGTAAGCTCGTGAAAAAGCTCAAGTCTGATGACCCATTTTTGCACTCGACCTGATGTTACAGATGAATCTTGTACCCTGAATTTTAATCATTTCCCTTAATCTGAGCGGCGATATTGTGTGGTCGCGCAAGAGATCGATCCATCGGGAGCCTTCATTTACTCGCAATCAAAGCATATGTATGTATTCACCTCTCAACTCAAACTATACCTTCAACTCACTCGAGGATTGAGCGGGGTTCATTTTGTGACTCTAGATAAGGAATGCCTGAACTGGTTTTTCTGAACATTTTTAAGTCCAAAGAAAGCCGGTAGAGTGATTAGCACAGACCTGAGCCGCCTGCTTTATAAGCAAAAGAGAAAGATCATTCATAGCTTATAGGACGTTATGCACTGTCGGCCGATACATAGATGACTGTTGCGTTATCACTTCATTCTAGTCCGCAATGGATGAATAGTTTGAAACTTTCAACAGATAATTGCAGTAGAAGTTCGCGAGAAGGGTTGCTGCATACAGCTGGTTTCCATTCTGAACATTCATATGGGTTCTTCAATAAAATGTACAGGGTGAAGCGGTATGGAGATAATAAATAAGAGAACATCCTACTCTACACGGTGATCCCAAGCTGAAGCTGTGAAATATGCGGTGGACCATAACATGTACAGAACAGAATCTGGAGTTTGCACATTTTGCACAGGCTAAGTGAAATGGTAACATCTATTAGAGATAACATGATTAGGTACACGCGAGCATTTTTTCTTGAGGATATGGGTGCACCTAGTATTATTTCGTAACAGGCAAAGTCAGCGCAGAGATGCGAGAAAGCATTGCACGAGCAAATTTGAGATGTATTGCTCTGGTAGACATTTCATGAGACAACATGATTTCGGCTCCTTTGATGTTTATAATACAACGCATTCTCGAACGAGTGTCGGGCAGACTAAAATTATGCTCCCTGTGCCTGCAACAAATTTAAGAGCTAGAAGTTTCACCTTTAGAGCTTTCAGTTTGTTCAGGAAAGTAACCAGAAATCTGTTCGTTTTCGCGGCTCTAAATAGGTTCAAGCGTAACATGATAATGATTCCAACCAAGTATGTGGTTTTGTAGTTTTCCGAGACAGATCAATTGATTTCATACTTGTGTCTTCCTCTTACATCTGGGTTGAGGTTGCACTATGTGTTACATGGTTTTCGTTTTAGTTTACTCGTTGTCACCTGCTTTCATACTTTGTTTCGTATGGTCTATTTTGTTGTTTTTGGGAGGTTGTTTTTCACTGAGTTCACTGAGCAGCGTGAATGCATAAAGCATAAAACATAAAAATCAAATGTCCACCAGTTCGCATAATGACACTGTGTTATTACTCCTTTCGTTAGGTATGAAGACTGAACAAGAAACTATAGCTGGTCAAAAAGATCAAAGTTCCACCATACATGATGAGAAGCATCGGCTGAAGAATACCAAAGCAATAAGTTCGACAAGTGATTCAGCAAAAATACAACATATTACAAATAGAAGAGAGCGACCAAATATATTCCGCGCCTTACAGATCCGCGCATGAAATACAAACTGGGTGGTAAAAGAGGAAGTTTGATCGTTACAAATTAGCTTCTGTCGTTTATTTGTTTTTGTGAACTTTCAGTTCAACGCATACACATTACCTCTCTACTGTACGTGGTAACTCATTCGTCCTATTTCGTCGAATCGTTTGTTGCTACATTTCAAGACCTCATTACTGTAAGAGCCACGCAAGCAAGGTTGGTCACTTTATTGTGACCTCCTGTTTCGAGTTTATGAGAGATGTTGCAACCGACCTAATGCGTTGGGCGCTTGACCGTGTTAGCTATAATTTAGGAGCCTGATACTATTATATTAATGACTTTCACGACGACAACTTGTCGACCGAGTAAAGCGGTTTCGCTATGATGAAGCCAATGTAAAAACAGTGCAAGACATTATACTCTAGTTCACTTCATTCACTGTGGATCTTGGGCTTGGGTGGAAGGCTGAAATTGTGCTTGAACGGAAACGTATAGCCCTCATTACCTAGTGCCGAATTCTGCTCGTTTAACGGGACTATTTGTGCAAGAGGAAACGATTACTCCCGTTATATAAGGCAAGACATCAAGCGGACAAATTGAGAGTCGAGATAGCATTTCGACCTGTCATCTGCAGCAATGAGTGGTGAGTGTACTAAAGATCGCCATTCTAGTTGTTGATATTAACACCGCGCTCGAGACATGACCAACTACTTTCGCCACATCCCTCTCTCAAATTCTCTTCTGAACGCTGTCAATAACTGTAAGTCGAGGAAATAGTCGTGCAAAAGAGCTAGGGTGCTTTTGACTTCTCTCTTGTAACATCCCGATTCTACGTCGAAAGCCGTTTATTAAGATAGCTTACAATCGGGATATTGAAAAAATGTTTTATGCTCAATTATTATTAATTCTTTACGATTGACTTAGAAAGAGTTTGTCTTCTATCTACATTTTTTGTCTCTATCTACATTGTTGCTTAACTCATGTAATGATCGAACTACAGCAACAAGCTAAAGTCATGCAGCCAGCAAAATGAAAGGAATTCTAACTATGCATATACTAAACAACTCGCACTCAAAAAAGATTTCCATGCATCGCAGCCAATGTGAACGAATTTGAAGGATGTCATGAACACAACTTAAAACGTTGTCAAATCCTCAGCAATTATATCACAAATCATGCAATTTTTCTGCTATCTCGTATGGTTTATGCTTCTTTCTCTTCCCTGTGATGTTATTTCGTGGCGCTGTTGCATTTCACTGCTCCTGTTAGATGTCGCCACTTCTCTAGTATCATCATCCTCTTCTGCTGTTACCCCGGTCCAGCTGACATTGAGCTTCAAATAACAATACTTTTTGTTAACTGCTATAGTTTCGTCAAAGTACGTGATGCACAGTCTCACAAAACAGAAGGTTGTGGCAGACTTTAGAATTGGACGAGCCTCGAAGCCGTACATGTGCTCCATGGGCGCCGTGCTCTGTATCCTTTGACTACTGATTTCCCACATGCCTTCGCCTGCATTGCTTCCCTTACCAAGTGAACAAGTTTTCGGCATTCCCCCACAGTGGTAGTGCCGTTGCCTTATCTCTGACTGCACAGCTCTTTGCATGACCGTCTCGTAGCAACTGTCCTTGTTCCCGCCCAGTCGCGTTCGTTCACATACCAAACTCAACAACCTTGAAATGATGTTCATTTTTCAAAATGCCTGCCTACCGGCCAACTCTCGCTAGAATGTTGTGGGCTTTATTTTGTTCTAAACGACTATCGCATGAGCCGTCGGCTGCTGAGGATGCCACTGTCCCACACTCTCTTTTTTATGCTTGTCAAATTATTTAGGACCCTACAGCGTGGACCAAGCTACCATAACGACTAGCTCACTTTTTTGACTATTGAACTCTAACCTGAGAATTTGGCCTTTTTCATGTTTAGCCGATGGCAATTTTTTCTTTGCCATTTCCGCAACTCATCATAGAGTTCTTTTCTACTCTCCGCTACTGAAGCTATGTCTTCAGTCTAGAGCATAGTTTCTACAAGCCGGGGTCTGAGTCCTTTTATGGTGGAATTCAGTGTTAGTGGGGATAAGAGCAGACTCAGAACGAGCCTTAGTGGGCCCCGAGCAAGATGTTTATGTAACGTCTTTCTTATGCCGTGACATGTCCATACGACTGTCTTCGACCTGAGTCTCTGCCTTGAGAGTTAGGATATTCTGTTCTTCACAGTTTCGGAGTGCTCTCCAAACACTAACGCAGTAGGAGTCGTACGCTTTCTTTCTGGATTCTTCTCCTCGAAAGAAGGTGCTTAGTCGTGAGCTGGAGCCAGATCAGAGATTATATCTGTTTTTTTTTGTCGTTTCGCCAAGTCTCCCACCTCTCTCGATCCTTTCAAGTCCCTCCGCTCGAGGGCTGATAGGGAATAGTCTGAATAACACTCATTTTTTTCGTACATGCGGCGCCTACGCAGATGATGATGTACAGTACCACCTCTTTTGTATATGTTCCCGCGCCATTATGCGACAGCTGAGCCTTTGAGGGAATCCATTTCTGCTATAATCAAGCCAATTCGTTTAAGGTCTTCATTGTTGTAGGGCTCGGCATCTTCTAAAATCTTTGACTTCTGCTCTTTTCCATCTTGCCTCTCGGAAACGAAAGAATCGGCTATTCTTAAATCCTATGCGATTTGCAGCCGTTCAGGACTTCCCAGTAAGCTATCCCACGCAAAGTAACTTCTTTGTTCAAGCGGGACTTCTGCGCATAACTTCCGGTTAAAGTCCTCTCCTCATCATCGACAACTTTTGACATTTCGGCATTTTTACTGTGACTGGTATTCACCTTCGGTCTACAGGTCAACCTGGTTCTGATGCAGGTTACAGCAGCACTTCTAGATTGGGCGTAGCTATTGCTGTGGCAGGAATTCAGCTAGGAGCGTTGAGATTGCAGACATCCCCCTGCACTCTAATCCACCCCGCTATTCCTGTCTCTGGATGGCTCAAAGTGCAAATTTTCCCATGTCTTTTAATTAGATGGCGTTTTTATTTTTAGCTCTTTCCCAAGAAATAAAGAACCGCCAGCAGGCATTCATGAAAGCGTTCAATGCTGGTGATCCGAAAGGTGCAGCAGCCGTTTACGATCCTGACGGTTACTTCATGCCAAACGGACGTCATCCAGTCAAAGGACGTGCTGGTATTAATGATGGCTCACGTGCATAAGAAAATAGTATCAGCTTTTCTATGTTGTGACTACAACTAATATTGCAGGGATTGAAGAATACTTTAAAGAAGATATGGGAGATGGCGTGCAAACAGCTCAGGTATTTTAGCAAGGGATTACACCTATCACCTTCACAAAGCATTTATTTGAAGATAATCACTGAAGAAGTTAATGGCAGCGGAGACTGGGCATTTGAGAGAGGGAGCTATCATTTAGACGGGACTCGTGGCAGAGAAAGCGGTGCCTACCTGCAAGTGTGGAAAAAGGTTCGTACTTTCTGATCATTAATCCACTATATCTCCTTCAACGGTTCATTACTGAGTACGATGGATCAGGACTCACCCTTTTGCCGACTCCTCTTTGTATATGAACTTCTCCTTGAATTGTCAGGATAGAAATGAGCGGGATGGAAGCGATAGCGGAACGTGTGTGAAACGAACGCAATTTCAGGAAGAAAAAGGAATCAAGTTGGTTCAAGCAAAATGCGTTGCATAACGAATTCATGCCAGTTGCAACTGACATAGGCTACCAAGTACTGATTGCCTGCCGTTTGCTTGTATCATGATCTTTTGAATATTCTCGACATCAATGAAAAATTACGGGTCAGCGTACACTCGATTCCCGTTGCCAAAGAAAACTGCTAAGGTAACGACTCTACCCGAAGAAATAAAACCGCAGTGTTTTGAATGACACAAACAGACAAATTCTCGCAAATAGAATTCTTGGTATAAGTTCTGTAACACTTTCTTGGCTTCTTCTCTGCCTCAGTTAGAACCGTGCGTCTCTAGCACCAATAGCAGTTTTGATCGCCCACGACGAACAAACGTTTCCGGCGTACGATTTCTTTGTTGACCAAAAGTGGATCAGCGTTGTTATCTTCACAAGTCCTATATAAAGTCCTATATAAAAGCCTATAGTCCTATAGTCCTATAGTCCTATATAAAAGCACAGTCCGAAAAAATTGTCACCTCTTATTAATCGGTTATCCTAAACTTCGCCGACTTGATGAATCCGATTACCGATTGCTTCCCTGCGCAATAAAACAAGCTTCTCGTCGTCCAAAAAAAAAAGGAATCAAGTCGCAAGGTTCGCTGCAGATAGTGTCGTCACAAGAATGGAGAAAACTCTTCACATCAGACGACAAGCCGCCTTATCAAACACACGTCCTTCTAGTGTACCATCTTCCTTTTTCCATCATTATCAAGAGCTAGGCCATCGTCGTAATCCAATGCAGACTCTTCCAACTCTTTGTCACTGTCGAACAATGAAGCGTTGAAGCTCCGATCGAGCTCGTCGCCGTTCATAGTTTGCGTTTTCTGGAACGCTGACAGCCCTATATGGACTAACACGGCCGGTGCAACGAAGAAGACGTCCGCAAGTGAGGGAAGCATTCGTAACACTTGTTCTCATGTCTTAGTTTGATGCACAGGTTTTCCCCTAACTTTTTTGTAAATATGTCAATAGCGATCCAACCTGAGGACAGTGGTATGCACCATCACCATCCAGTACTCGACGCCAACGCGCAGGCAGCTTGCCGATTCCTTCCCCCTTAAAGTACGGGGCTGGGATATGAAGAACTCGTCGAGTGCCTTTCTGATGGCCAGTAGTCGGAAGGAGCGAGGTTAGGGTTGTGGGGAGGGGGCTGGGCGACAATCAGCTATCCGTACTTCTTCAGCTCGGCCTGGGTCGCCTTTGTGATGTGAGGTTGGGCGTTGTCATGGTGGAAGAGATTTCCGCATTCGATCCACAAGCACGGTCGACATGAACTTTCAATTTTAGCAGCTGGTAGCGTTTGTAGAAGCTTGATCGTAGAAGTAGAAGCCCCACTTCTCATCTCCAGCGATCATCGAGATGAGAAAGTGAGGAGAGAAGTGCAGTTGGCCACTCTTTTTGAAAGACCATAAGCGGACAGTTCAGGTGGACCAAGCTTTGCTAACTTGCCGAGCTGTTCCAGTCCACTTACAATCGTTGATTGTCTACAGCCGAGCATGGTCGCCATTTCCTAGGTGGTTAGGTTTGGGTATTCCCCAGGGCGGAACGTAGTACTTCTGAATTCAACTCCATCGGCCGACCCGACCTCGGAGCATTTTCCTTTCATGAATTTGGCGAACCATGTTTTGCATGTGCTGTAAGAGATAACGTCTTTGCCTTATGTATCCACTAGCTTGTTATGGGTTTCCTTTGCATTCCAGCCGAAACTGTGAAGCAAACCATGCTTCGGCGCAGGTACATCCTGTCACAGTGGCAATTGTGAGGGATCGTAGCCAGCAGATGCAGGATGGAGAAGTGTCAGAGTGGTGAAAGAATGTCATGCTCGTACGTGATGACGTAATATCAACATCCATGCAAACGAAATACGGTAGGATCAAACATTGGCAAAACTCATGCATCAACCTAATTATAAATACACAGGACTCGAGCAAAACTCCGTGCATGGCGGGCACAAAGTATGTCGTGTTGTGTTTGCGCTTGTTCGGCCGGAAATGAAGAGCTACCCTCCTTTTGCACCAATTTCAACACGAAAAGAGGAAGGCGAGGGTCAGCTGGACGATCCGACCAGTGTTAACATAATTGGAGAGCTATGTGCGCTTCTCTGGGGCAACGCATGGCTACGCAAAGCTTATACCTTTGATGTAAATATTATAAGCTTCACTTACTGATTTCACCATGCAGATATCTTGTGTTTACCGGTCTTTTTTACTGTATTCGTGTCCTTCTGGTACTTAGATTAGGGAAGTCCGTTTCGCTTGAACTGTGAAGGATTTGCTTGCTGTGCAAAATACTTTTCCTAGGCATTCTATACTTATTTGACTCGACCATACCGAATATATGAAAATGAAGATTGATTCATTTGGAAAAATGTGACAGCCCTTCGAGGACGATACCTTTTTGTCGCGTTTCTATCTAGCGGAAGTAAAACATCAGGAAATAGAAGGAATCGCGTCCGAGTTCCTTTTAGTATTGTAGCACAGCATGTAATTCCAGGAGGCTCAAAAAACTCCTTCATTGCGGGGTCTCAGACTCCTCCAGGTTCCAGAATTTTTTGATAAAACTTACGATCCCTGCTAGCATCCGCTCTTTTTGTTAGCAAATTTGGAATAGATTAGAAACGAGAGTCTTTGTGACGTTCTTCTGCTGCCAAATGGGTATTTCCGTTTCTCTCCGGCCGATCGATTTGTTTTAGCGTTCAAATTGTTGAGGGGGACTGACCATCAAACCTATGTACTAGACCTTAGGACCGATTTTTGGACGATCAGGTATGTTTCAAAACAGTATCTTTAATATGGGCGAATGGCATAAAAATCTTATGAGCTGTTTCATACCCTGGAAAGCCAAATGATTAAAGTCTAGCAAGTCAACCTATTGCATCTATTAGATGGGTAAATTCCGGGTAGCTTGAAGGCCCATTAACAGAGGCAAGGAGCTTAATTATTGGAAGCAGCTCGCACCCGAGCTACTTCTCAGTTATCCGAATGCAAGCTTTAAGCTTCCAAGTTTATGCGCAAGTTACTAGACGCATTAACAGACTCTTAACATGTGCATGCATGGATACAGCTGCGAGGAGAAAGAAAGTGAGACTTGACCTAGCACAGCAGGAATATAGAGTCCATCTTCTCAATCCACCTCAGCCTCTGGACAATACTGGAGACATTCGATTCAAGACTCATTTTTCTTTCCGACACGTGGCAACGTGCCACGTATTCTCGTCATCAACCATGTATCTTTTGTAGATCTTTTAGTAAGAGAGGAAATAAGATAGAGCTCTTAGTAAAAGAGATCCGTGGGCGATTCCACATATTTCGGTTTTAGTCTTTTAAGGTTATGTGCCCAAGTTTCAAGCGTTAGACAGTTCTGAAGCAAAGTTCGACGGCGTGTTCTTTTTATGTGTTCTGGCAACGATGGGTCTGAAATGAATTGAGTAGACTTACCAAGAGCTTACCTACTTCTGGAGTTGCCTTCAGCGTGAATTTATGAATCTTCCAATCAGACATATCTTGTGAGAACTTTGTAAACCTTGTATGGTAAAAGTCGTAAAAATAGCTTCACCAATACCTATCCAAAAGCAATCAGATTTGGCACACTGTTTACTAAGACCAGTGCAAATCGAATTTGTTAGTGATCACACGAAGTGGTCCTTTTTGGGGTCACAACAGCCTTCGGACGCTCATGATATGAGTCGATGACGGACCGTAGGTATTCACCGTCGATTTCATCCCAGGCATTCTTCAAGACTCACTTGAGAGTCGGTGCTTGTGTGGCGAATGGTGCACGCCTTCTGCTCGGGACAGGATACACCGAGTAGTCCAATGGGTTGGCAACGGGGGGACGGACCACAATTTATTGACAGGTGTAATAGCTGGCAGCTTGCTTGCGCCCCAACCCTGGGTCTCCCGTGACTTTTGTGCGGAGTCTTTCTGGAAGACCCAGTGTTATTTTCAAAGTGTGCCTGGCTCCTAGGTAGTATCTCCATCTCCAAGATGTGCTCGATGTAGGGCTGTGCCGATCCTGACGCCGAAACTGACGAACGAGAAGAGTTTGTCCACCATAGCGCATATTCCGGCCCATACCATCACCCTGGTGAGGCGAGGCATCGGAGACCACTCTCTTCACCTAAAATCGACCTGCTGAGGGGGTGAAGTGAGCACCCGCACATATTGGGCCTTCGCCGCTAAATCCACTGTGAATAGCTTTCAGTCAGAGGAGATGATCACCACGTACTATACTTCCCGATAGCAGCCCTCGCAAGCATGGCCTGAGATCATGCAAGCCGAATGGATTTATTCTTCTTCGCAAGGCCACGGCGTCTTATGATCTTGTAAGGATAGAGCCAAAGGTGGTCCCGTACCAACCTCACGTTGAATTGTCGCGAGCTCTTGAGCTTCTTGGCCATTTTTCGCATGTTGCAACCAGGATTCCTGCCGACGCATTTTTTGAAACTTCTGTTTGCCAAAATCATTGCGGTGCGTGGTCGTTCAGATGGAGCGTAGTTGGTTGCCATACCAACCGTCCTTGATCTTTCGGGAGTCCTATTAACGGTTTGGCGGCAGACGTTGAACTTCTTCGCGATTAAGGATGGGATGTCCTCAGCGTAGTATAATTGCACAATGACGTCACCCATAGGATTAGCGCATACTAATCTGAATTGAATAGTCGGTTTTTTGATGAAATACAGTGATAATGATGGAATCATATCACTTCCCAACAATAACACGTCAGTTTTATAGTATATATATCGAGTTCAATGTATAATACAACTCGGTCAATGTTTTGTGGCAATAAT